GACTTCTTTCACATTTTCAGGATAGTCATACTCTACTTTGACTTTTCTGAAGTTGAGAAATACTTTGTTCGAAGATTCCGTCACCTCGGGCTGCCAGAAATACACAAAAAAACATTGATGGTAGCAATTCAAGGGGGCACATTAATCCTATCTACAAATGTTACGTCACATGCCATCAAACCGCCACCTTTGTATCGAGCAGACAGGATTTTCACTGCTGGCTGCATTTTGGATTCTTGGAATTTCTTGAATTCTTCACTGCTAATTGTCATGTGCACCGATCCCACTTGCAATGTAAGAGATATATCTTGTGATGCTAGATCAACAAAAGGTTCAATAACCGTCATGAGCGCATGACCTGTATGATATGTAATATACTCGTGAGAGAGTTTCTCAGAGCCAGTCATAGGTTTTTTGAACTTGACAACTGGAGCACCTTTGTTTAAGTCACATAGGTAAGGGTCAAGTTTTGGCCGCTTATTTCCGTCACTCTAAAATGAAAAAGTAATTACATATATGCATAACTGTTTCCCAAGCTGGTTGATATTCAAAGGGACGAGATAATTTGCTACATTACCGCTGATGGTGAGTCAGCCCCAGATGAACCGGCTTCATCATCATCCTGTAGAAAGGGATGAATAAATTTAAAAAAACAACTCTCTTTTGTTGTCATGTAATCATAGCAAAAGGAAACAGGAACATATAGGTGGTAAGAATTGAGTAAGAACAATACTCCTTTATACCACCAAAGAGAAAATATAGGTAAATACTCACCATTTTCGTGGATGTTGGTGCGCGTAATCAACTGTAAATTAGAAAGAACAAGTTAAAACAATGATAGTGGTTTAGTTAATATTCCATAACAAACTGTCTCATGCCAGAACAGAGAGTTAATTAACAGTAGTAAAAAATTTTGTAATGTTACTTTAGTAATGGTATGGTATGTCAGTATATTGGGTGAGGACTTTTTCGTCTGCAATGTTTGAAGATCAGTACTGTTTAGCATACATTTTAGAGTTCTACAATGGAATCATTGGCAGGCTGCATGTCAATGTGGTGAACAGTGCTCTTCGACAAGAGAACTGTCAACATTTAAAGAAACTAGGAACGTCCGCCACATTTGTTTCAGTTCACTCGACCAAATATCACATTTCGTCTAAAAGACTGGCCAGTAGGCCGGTACCGCACTGTTAAAAATACCGTACCCAACTACAGCAGATACTACAGTATTTTGTCTACGGTTTGTCACAATACGGAACCGTATGCCATATTTTGCCGTATAGGATACACTACAGGCAAACCGTAGTCCAAAAACAACATCTTTATCCTGTACCATACCCAGAGCCTCACTGGCCTGGCGATTGACTCGCTAGTTAGCTCTCGCTGATGATACATCACGCCAGATAAGTCATACGCCAGAGGTGCCGCAATCCAGCCGGGCAGCGCCCTGCCAGTCTCAGTTCCTAGGGATGCAACTATTTTTGAACTCTGAAGTTGGCCGTCAACTCCCGACCCAATCCTCATACAAAAAATTACAAACGGCACTTGTAGATATACTGTAAGGGTACAGCAAAGTCATGAGTACAGTTTTGATACGGTGCTCCAGTACCTATTTTCTGCATGATGTACGGTTTTGGTACGGTGCATCCTGTACCTATTCTGTAGGAGGTACGGTTTGACCACAGACATGTTAGGCAAGTGTATGACCAATAGTTTCCTGTACCTATTACTGTGGTTTTTTGTAACAGTGCGAGACAGTCCAGCTCCAAAAGCAAATTCAAAATATACAGGCGCTAAGGCTTGTATCATTCTGCAGACAATAATATGAACGCTGCCATCCGTCAGGACCGCGGCGCTGAACCAGTCGTACAACCGGAATACATTTCTTATCGTCAAGGCATAATATTCTTTTTCAATTAGGTATAGTTTAAGCTTCATCTTGATTTCATACTATGATACTGCTTCCTTTCACTCTGAAATATTATTGTCTAAAGTGTGTGTATTGATTGTATGAATGTTGGGTTTCAACTGCTGCGGGTAGCTCTAATATGGTCATTTCTAATAATGCTAATACTAATGAGTTTCAAGTGAGTATCTTTGCCTGATGAACTTTTCTGTCAATGCATCATTTTGTACTATGTTTGTAATTTATTGTTTTAATGTTAAATTGTCCAGGACCCAATAGTTCTCAGAAGTCTTTTCAGGTATCTGATTTTTATCTAACATACATCATTTATTGTTTTTCAAGAAATGAGGGTGATGACATTATTTGTCTTCTTTGTTTTTAGGCCACCCTTCCAGAGTATGAGCACTTGGTTGTCGCATTAGATCAAGCAAGCACACCCTTACCCAAAAATTGAGAACATGAACCGTGGTGAGATGTGTACAGCGCTGCTCAGGGTGAACCTACGCAGCAAAGAGGAGGCATTGCAATGGCTGGCTGACTACCAGGGTTGTTAACGATATTTTATCGTGTAACGACGATACGACGATATCGATACGATATTTGTATCGATATCGTAACGCGTTACTTTTTCGACCAACGGTGTATTGTAACGCGATACGATACGGAGAACCTCGTAACGTCGTAACGTTCGATACGATACAAAAGATTTTATAGTCGGAAAGAAAATCACACTTTGCCATGCAGGTCAGCAGAGCAAATGCCCATTTGCCAAGCCGAGGTGCTATGCCCCGAGCCCAGCCGAGTGCAACACGGGAGTTCGGCACAGCGGAGCGGAGCGGACACGCCCCCTCCCTGTGCGTCGCGTCGAGCTCCGTGCTCCGTGTGACAACAGACATCACTAGACCTGTCGTCGAGTCGTCGAGCGAGACAAGATAGCTGCGTGCCGGTTTAAAATTGTGTTGTTGTTGTGCGTCACGAGTAATAATGGGAGATGAGCAAGATCAAACTGAGGCTGGGGGAGAAATGCCTTGGGCTGCATTCAATGAATACTTTTTCTTTGTAAGAGAACGAGAAAAGCAAAATGCAGATTGCCGGTGCAAGCTGTGCCCCGCAAATGCCAAGCTTGTAGCGTTCAACACTTCAACCTTCGCCAATCTCAAGTTACACCTTGCTGTAAGTAGATGTATTCAATCCTGTACTAACTGAAAGTAGACGACTAGTCTGCCATTCGTTGCGCCGTTTACTAATGAACGTTAGTTCCCGCACCGGCTCGCGTCAACCTAACCTCACTTTGTCATGTCCATGTCGGTGCCGTGGGACGAGCTCGTCGCACGGCACCCGCACGGGACGGGCAGCGCGGCGGCCGGCGCGGCGCGCCGAGCGAGCAAACGCTGCGACGACGACTCACCCGCGCTCTGCGCTGCGGTCACCTAACCTCAATTTTTATTTGTTTCTTTCTTTGCAGAGAGTCCATGGCTGGTCGGAAGACCGACTGAAGTCTCTAAATGTAAGCAAAGGACACGGAGGAACCAAGCGTAAGGCTACTGATCAGAGCGGCCCAAATGCCACGGATTTCTTCAAGAAAAGGAAAATTACTCAAGCCGATGTTGACCGTGTGACTGACCGGCTTGTGATTCGCGAGGCGCTCCCGCACCGCATCGTCGATTCCCCGTTCTTTAAAGAAGCGGTCCTTCTCGGCTGTCCATCCACAGTTCGAGTTGGATGCCGCCAGACATTTAAGGGCAGACTGTCGAAGCACGTCGATAAGATGGAAACAAATCTAAAGAAGCAATTTGACTCCGTGCAGTATATCTCCACGACCGCCGACGGATGGTCAAAGCACCGGCGGGGCTTTCTGGGCATGACCGTCTCGTGGCTCGACCCCGACACTCTTGAAAGGAAAGTAGCCGCACTGGCCCTGGAGCGTCTGAAGGGGCATCATACACACGATAAGTTGGCGGTGGCAATCTCCAAGGCCCATAATCAATTTAACATCTCTGGAAAAGTGACCAAGACAACCACTGATAGTGCCTCCAATTTTAAAAAGGCGTTTCGAGTGTATGGAGCAAAACAACGCGACAATCCAGACACAGGTAAAAAAGCTGCGGGTTCGAATACTGGTTCACCTTTATTTTCTGTAGCTAATTTTAACGTATTAATATTTTTAAAGGCTCTATCTTTGACGACTTGGACGGCGGTTCAGAGGACGAGGACGAGGATGAGGACGGGGTTGAAGGAGAGGATGAGGAAGACGATTACGTTCCGGTTTCCGTGGATGAAGCTTTAGATTTTGCCGACACCGACGACGATGGCACCGTGCTACCGGCGCATCAGAGATGTGCGTCTCACATACTTAACCTCGTAGCCACACAGGACGTCAAAGCAGCCCTTGACGCCAACGTAGCATACAAGAAAATCCACGAGTCTACCTACGACAAGCTCAAAGTATGGTGGCGACGGCAAAATAGGTCTGACCTTGTTGCCGATGCAATCAAGGATGGCCTAGGTGTCAAGCTCCAGGTGCCCGGGGATACGAGGTGGAACTCAGTGTTTGACGCAAAGTCGCAGGTAATTTTATCACCAGTTGCCATCGCACCAATGGTTTGGTCCAAACAATGCTTTTTTATTCCTAAAACCTTACAAATGCCATTTTTGATTTTTGTAGATTATTTCCCTTATTGATGCCGATGAAGACAAATTTAATACTACTCTGGACAAAGCGGGTTTAGACCGACTCACTCAAAGTGAGATAAAATTTTTGAGAGAATATGTATGGGTGATGCACCCCGTGGCGGCGGCATTAGACATCTTGCAACGTGACAAAGATATGTACGTAGGCTACATAATTCCTACTATCCTGCGTTTGGAGGCCCAACTGACCATGCGACGCAAGATGAACGGAAAAGACCTGCGTTACTGCGACGTCCTGGCGCGGACGCTGATTACTGCCATCCGCGGGCCAAGAAGGTTCCAACAGTATTTGGAGCAGGAGGACCTCCAGCTCGCAGCAGCCCTCCTCCCTCAATTTAAACTCAACTGGCAGAAGGACCCCGTGATGCGCCAGAACCTCAAGAAGGTCCTCATCGAGAAGGCTTCCTCACTCTCTGTGGAGGACGACGATAACGCTGGTTCTCAGGCACAGGTAACGGTGGGAATTATTTCACAAAGCGACAACTGAGTTTATTCTTTCACTTTCGTGAGGACGTGCATATCCGCTTTACTTATGATATCCTTAATTTTCTAAAAGGACACTGTTGCTGACGCTGGTGAAGGTGAAGCGGACCCCACACAAGAGGACGACGCGGACGCGGAGGCGGTCGACACACCGGCCGCAATGGATGTGGGCTCGGACGACTCCTTCTTTGAGTTTGATTCTGTTGAGCCCGCAGCTGAAGGGACAGCCGAAACGGCGGAGCAAGAGGTGGAGAGATACTTCTCCACAGGCCCTAGACGAGACGCCGTAAAATCATGCTTCGCTAAAGGGGCTAATGGTAAACGAGAATTTCCCCGTCTCTCCAAGCTATTTCTAAGGTACAACACTGCACTGCCATCAAGTGGCGGAGTCGAGAGATTCTTTTCGATTTGTGGTAATAATTTTTCATGCAAACGTACTCAGCTCGCAGATAAGACTTTTCGAGACGAGGTTATGCTCAAGGCTAATTTTGATTACTGGATGTAGTTTAAAACCCTTAGCTATAAGATTTAGCTAAATTTTTGATACAAATTCAATGTATTTAATTTCTACAATAAAACTCATTATTTTCATGATTCTTAGTCTTTTAATACCGCCACACTAATTTCCTTTTTTAAAAGCTTTTTTTTCTGTTTGAGACTGTATCGTAACGACGTTACGACGATACACGTAACGTAACGCGTTACTTTTTTGATCAGACGTGTATCGTAACGCGATACGATAACTCAGTCCAAAAATTATCGTAACGTAACGCGTTACTTTTTTTTTGTATCGTTAACAACCCTGCT